ACAAGTAGGATGGTACCCAGGCTAAGGGGAAGGTCACCTTCAGAGTGTTAGTAAATCCAGTCTTTCCTCGGGGAAACAAGTCACAGATTCCTCAGTTAGATCTGATACCCGCTCCGTGCAGGGTACTAACTGGCACACATCCTACTGCACAGTTCTATATATGGGACACTCAGGATATTACTTCTTCCTACCAGTCTAGTATATCAAATTGGAACAAGCTTAATTTACGTGTTGGTAGTCCCTTTAAAATAACTACATGTAGTAGGGGTAGAGAAATAAAAGAAATGTGTATCACACCTTCTACTATAATTTTCATGAGATTAAACTTAATATATATAATTTGGCATCAATATCTTAAACCTAATACTAGTAGTGACTAGTACATTGTACTAATAGATGTTGGTTTAACATGTACTTCACAAAGTCAAAGACTCATGTAATATACATTGTATGTATTACACAGAAAAGGCTTGGTTACACATCTTGAAAAGTTATTCAAATACATGGTACTGGTATATCAAATTTAAACACAGACACTTTTCATTACATGTGTGTACAATGTAGTCCATTTAAAAAGAACTACTGGGGGTTAGAGAAATGAAAGAAATGTACATCACATTTTCTGCAATAAATTCTCAAAACTTTTCCATGTTATTTTCAAATTACATTTGTGATAAATGTTGACTTATCATATACTGTACATGTGATTACAAGTACACTGTATATATTATTATACAGAAAAGGCTGAAATGTTTGATTAAACACGTCTTGAAAAGTTATACAAATACATTTTGTACATCATATCGGGTAGTACTCTGGCTAGCTCTTAACATCTGCTGTAGCTTTTATCATCTGTTGTAGCGCTTTTAACAAAGAACATTTGTGACATTTGGACATGATGCAATACAGTGAGTGTGGGACCATAAAATCATACAGTAAGTCACAATTATCATGTGCCTTTGGCTGGAAAATTGGGTTTGCAGTAACAAGCATCTGCTTTTGTTTAATAGAAGGTTAATCTGATGTTATCTGAATTCAGCGTTATATTCTGCATTGATATGTATTGTACAGACAAGGATCGAATAAGGGTAAGTACTAGTATTATAAAAGTCGGCCAAAATTACAAGTAAAAATGCCTTGGGGCTGTCTAGCATGTATACAAGACAACTGGACTGCATTCCAAAGCAACACCCCATGACTCTAATGACCTACATAATAATACCCTCTCTTTTGAGCAAAGAATAGTATTACATTTTATATGATATTTGTGTCAGGTATCAATATGAAGATAATGCCACACATTTCTACCATTACATATATCTTACAGTATTACCGGTGGAATAGATATGGCTTTTAAAAATCAAATATGGAACGTCATGCGTATACATAATTGTCTATTCATACGTGCAAAATCTTGCCCCTTGAAAACAAATTACCATTTCAATCTATCATACTAGTACTAATATTTCATCAGCGCAAGAAACAGCTGTCGTTTTTAACAAGATGACGACATGTTGTCATCAACTTGTCAACATTATATTGCCTCTATTTCCTTTGGTATGCATGAAATTCAGCCTATACAGTAAAGAAAGATTTAATTTGTTAAATTTGTTGCATTTTACGAGAAAAAGTTATGTAAGGAACCCTTAACGAGCTGGTATGTCATTGTAAACTCCATAAAATTTCCATAAATTACACTACAAAAGTACAAGTCAAAACTAAGGCAAAACTATACAGTAAATACGGACTTTTATAGTTTCTTTGACACATAATTGATGTTTAACAAATGAAAATGGAAGGATAACAATGCATTTCGTAACCAGGAGCTAAATAAATTCCAAATACAACTGTAGAAGCTCAACTCTGCCCAAACTTGTCACACAGGAAATGTTAGTGACTACAAAATGTACGTATCCGGGCTAAGCCATTCGGTCATGCCCTGTCACGATTATTAACCACTGGACCAGAAAATAACCAGTATAATTAACCCTGAATAACACCAGAACATTACCAGGAGACTGTTCTACTGGATCAGACGTGAATTCCAGCGGGAAAACGCCCAAAGACTATCGCGTGACTCTTCCTAAAACTGTCCTAAATAATTTTGAAACCTCAAGTCGAGACGCCATTTTTTCGGACCATCTTTTGGGGCAGATTTTGACACTTTTCTTGAACATTTTACACAAAGAAAAACACTTATAACAACAAAAACGTACCGACTATCAATACAGCTATTTGTTTGGAGAATAAAATGCCATAAAAACGTATTGAAAAGTAAGAAAGCGTGACTTACTTTGAAAGACCGGCCCGTCAAACTTCCGTGTTTGGGACAGTGTGGCGCTTCCTGTAGGAATCGGAAATGACGTAATGGGTCAAAAGTCATGTGGGGTCACACGAGGTCATCCATCTTTCTTGCAAACTTTTCACTTCCGCGTTTTACACGTCTTTGTATATCTTTCCTCGGTTTTGGTGTTTCTTTTACTTTTGTAGGTCAATATGGCGTTTGAAAACTTGCGGAAATACTGGCCAACGTACAGGTAATTCTTGTGCATGTGTGTGTATTGCCATTTTAAATTTTCAAAGTCAAAATCATGAGATCGTCTTTCTTAAGTATAGCCCCGCCTTTCATAAACTTGAATCTTGTATTTTTGATACATGTATATCAGCTGCTCAAAATCAAAATGCACATCTAATGTCTTAACTCCAGCAGTAGTGGAAGTTTTACTTAAAATGGTAGCTTCAGATTCAAGAAAATTGACTGTACTTTTAATTGAAAATAGTCTAATTTGATCATTGTGTAGCGCACGTAAGGCACGTACCACACGTAACAGCTCAAAATTTCGCAAGTCATTGTAGCTACAATATGGTACATTAAATAAACATATGGCGTTTTACAAACAGACTATTTTAACACGAAACATTAAAACAATGCCATGATATAATCTAGAAAACTGGATATAGGCTTTCCGATTTTTTTTATTTCGTAATTTCGTTCAAATCTGTTTATTTACTTCACCTCCATGGCTTAAAGTTACTGCAGTTTTGAAAACATGTATCTATAAAAATACACCTGAATTATTTTGAACGTTATCATTCGAAGTACAAAAAAGAAAGAAGCAAGTTACATTTACAAGTTGTTAATATATTTTTTCCTCATACATGTTTTTCCCCCCTAGTTTTGCCCAGCCCTTCCATGCTATGATGCTGCTGGCTGCCATCGTAGCCTCCTTCCTGTTCTTCCCAGGACAGGGGACAGGAGATGAGAAGGGGTCCGGTGGCACACTGGTCAAGTTTCTCCACCTCTTCTGTGTCTCAGCTCACTTTGGGACACAGGTGTGGGTCACCTTTGTGGCAGGTGTGTCGCTGTTCTATAGCTATACATATAATGAAAAATAAACTATTTTGCAACTCAAAAGAATTTGATGATTCACCAGAATATTTTACCAAATCTCTCTGTACATCTTCATCATTAATCTGAATATGACATCAACTATGCAGAAAAACCATGTGTCTACACATCACTTGGTTCAGATAGCTGGTGAAGACCGAGAGATTTGGTAAAAAAATCTGGTGGTCAAATTCTTTTGAGTTGGAGAATAGCAGCACACTGGTCAAGTTTCTCCACCTCTTCTGTGTCTTAGCCCACTTTGGGACTTGGTGTGGGTCACCTTTGTGGCAGATGTGTCATTGTGTTACAGCTGTACAGAAATAAACTGCTGATTCACCAGAATTTTTTACCGAATCACCAGAATTTTGACCATATCTTTATCAGCTATCTGACCTAAGTCCAGAAGACATGACTACATGCAAGGAGATTTAATTAAGATATAAATAACCTCCTAGCTTCATGTAGTACTTTTGTTCCCCAATGTCTTCTTGAAACATGGCTCTGTATGCTAGAATGCTGATTCAGAAGTTCTACTCTCTAAGCAGAGGTTTAGGCTTTGGCTTATTTTTTATGTGTTTTTAGACATTTTTATTGGGCTTTCTATTTTGCACTGGTATCACGGAGCAAGGGGCCTAAGCATTTAGGCAGCAGGCATCTTTATACTGCCCTGCTAATTTAATACTGTCTTGCGAATTTGATACTGTCTTGCAACCACCTGTTTTGGAGATTATCCGAGTTCTCAAGTTGAATTTGAAGAATCTTTTTGTGTTTCAGGCCTGACGATGTTCCACAACCTCCCCCGTCACACATTTGGTCACATCCAGGGTCACCTGTTCCCAAAGTACTTCACCATGGGCAGTGTGCTAGGACTGGTTGCCATGGTAACCTACATGTACGAGTATCGCCATGGAAACCTGACAACACACCAGCAGGTCGAGGTGTGCAACAATCATTCGTAAATGTCTATTTTGTCACCCCTAATACCAGTGTGTGGATGTGTTTGTGTGTGGATGGTATTCAGCACCAGGGACAGGCATGTTCACCTCTGTGTGTATGTGTGAGTGTGTGTGTATGTGTGGATGGTGTGTGTGGATGGTGTTCAGCACCAAGGACAGGTGTTTTTGTGTGTGGATGGTGTTCAGCACCAAGGACAGGTGTTTTTGTGTGTGGATGGTGTTCAGCACCAAGGACAGGAATGTTTGTGTGTGGATGGTGTTCAGTAACAAGGACAGGTTTACCTGTGTGTGGATGTGGTTCAGCACCAAGGGCAGGTGTGTTTGTGTGTGGATGGTGTTCAGCACCAAAGACAGGTGTGTTTGTGTGTGGATGGTGTTCAGCACCAAAGACAGGTGTGTTTGTGTGTGGATAGTGTTCAGCACCAAGGACAGGTGTGTTTGTTTGTGGGTAGCGTTCAGCATCTGCATTGGTAATCTAATAGCATCTCTTCTTTCTTGCTCTAGTTTGGGATCCTGGTTGCTGTGTTCATGTCTACCCTGCTGAATGCTGCTGTGATCGGCCCCATCAGTCTGGACATCATGAACCAACAGTACGCCATAGAGAAGGAACACGGCCACTTGGGTTACAGAAACAGAGAAGGGCACCGTCCTATGCACCATATATACATTGTGTAGATGAGGGAAGGAACTTTTGACATTGACTGACTACATTTCTCTTTTTTTTCAGTGGACTCCCTCAAACTCTCCTGACCAATTACATGTGTATTACATTTGGCTAAATTTTACTGCTTTTCTTAACCCCCGTTTGGTGGCAGCTAGCTATAGAATGACCGCATCTCTATTTCTCTCTCTCTAGTTTGGGATCCTGGTTGCTGTGTTTGTCTCTGCCCTTCTGAATGCTGCTGTGGTCGGTCCCATCAGTCTGGACATCATGAACCAGCAGTACGCCATAGAGAAGGAACACGGCCACGGACACGAGGTCGGCACACACCCCGCCGGCAAGATCCAACAGGACCAGAAGTACCAGAACGTGCGGAAGCGGTTCTTTAAGTACCACGGCATCTCCTCGCTGGTTAACATGGTGGCACTGGTGGGGAACGGGGTTCATGTGTACTACCTAGCCTCACAGATGGCTGGGATATAAAAGTCTTAACAAAGGTTTGGTTGGCAGAAAGTAGTGCTCTTGCACGAAACCTGGCATTTTCCTGTTTGTTGCTACTTAGCCTCCCAGTTGGCCCGGCTGGGATATAGAAAATCTTGAAGTATACTGTGAATACAACCCTAAAAGGCCTGGAATTCCAGGCTATATACTATGAACAAACTGCCTTTTACAGTTTACATATTATGCTTCTTGTAATTAGAACAATCCATTTGGTTGTGTAGTACGTAGAAGGCAGTTTGTATACTAGTAGGGAAACATCTGAAGACAGGCATTGTTCACAGTACTTTTGTGATAAGGTTTTTGCTGATTGTTTAGTTTTGCATAGTGAGCTTTGCTTTGCTTTTCTTGTGAATTCCATGAAAAGGAAATTGAATGTAGAAGCAAATTCATTGATAATGGTAGGGAATGGGGTCCATGTGTACTACTTAGCCTGCCAGTTGAAAGTCCTAAAGCACTGTGAATACATCCTCACAAGGCCTGGAGTTCCAGGTTATATACGTGTATGAACAAACTGCCTTTTACATACTAGTATGCTTCTTGTAATTACAACATAGAGCTTGCTGTTGTTGCTATCTTTCATTGGACATTCCATCTGGTTGTGTAGTAGAAGGCAGTTTATATTGCATTGTTCACAGTACTTTTGTGATGATGTTTTGCCTCATTTTAGTTTTGCATAGTGAGCTGGTTTTGATTTTCTGAAAATTGGTGTGTTGCAATATTCAGTATAGAAATGTATCAAAAACTAAATATCTAACATACATATTTTTATAAATGACGTTCCAATGAATTCTTTGAAAAAGGAATTGAAAGACGAAGAAATGTAGCTTGCAGAGAATGTTTATTGCAGCTTAAAGTTTGAAAATAATTGTGATATTGTTGCGTCTTTTTCTGTTGGCACACTAATATGTTTTGTATGTAAATTTTATGAGTCCATATTCATGAAATATGGTAACTTTCTTGATTAATATACACATATCAAAATATGAACAACATTGACTGTTGAAATATAATCATCAAATACACAATCATATATATGTATTTGGAAATACCTAGCAAATACATTGTTTTAACTAATATATTACAAGCATTCAAAATGCAACAAGTTTTATAGAAAATCTATTGTTTCATTATCATTATTGCTTGTTAATTTATGGGTAAAACCCTTTCATTGTTTGTGTTTTTATCAGGTGTGGGAAAATCAGTGCTTCTTGCTCTTATCTAGTACCTGCATTCTAGGTAACTCGTAGCCTGTCTTCACCAAATACAAGCTACACACTCTTACCAGATTAAACTGTTAAACTGTGCCAACCTGCAGTACTTTGCTTTCTTTTCAAAGAACCAAGAGAATACACACTGTACACATTTTTTAACCAATACATGTCATTTCATAGGAACCAAGTTACATGTAAAATCTTTGAAAATAATTCATATGCCTATCACTCATGAGCTTATTATTGCAATTGCTAACAAATCTTTCAACTTACATCAAATTGAATCTAACACAAAATATCTTGTACTTTATATCAACGGTACAAAAACAGTACAAAGATGTACTATTAATATAAGTGTTGAGTAGCTTTGACAACCAATATTATTGCAGCTTTTCTCCCACTTCTCATGACCCACATTGGCAGATTCTAAGACTTGCAAAAGTTGAGACAAGGGACCTGGTGTAGCCGCTGACTCACTGGATCTGTAAAATCAACAAACAAAAACAATTATACATGTATAAGGCACACTTCAAAACATATAAATCTATTCAATTTTTATATCTGGCTGACAAAGAATGAAATTAGAAATTAACAGCCATGATATGTTATATACAACAGAACATCTGAGAAGTAGAAAGATTACTTTAGGAACCTTCTCCACAAGGTACTAGCAAGGACATTATACTATAATGTCCTTGGTACTATCAATTATAAATTAATGAACCATAGAACTGTTGTGCATTAGCTCCCTCTGTTAACCTAGCAGAGAACTGCATGCAACACTCCAACCTGCTATGTAAATGTACTATGTTTATGCTTGAATTATCAGTTCAACATGTACTTGATATATCTTTTGAACAATAGTTTGTGATATGAGCTTGTTGCAGACATATGTATTACAAATTAGACTTGGTTCTAGTCCAGTAATTATATCTCCACTGGAGTCAGACTCAGAGCAAACTAGCACATGACCAAAAGCTGCAAAACCAGTTTTGCTAACAGTTATCAATTTTGGATCAAACCAACTCACGCATCAAAGAGGGGTAATATTAAGCTAGCCTTATAGAAGACCAGCAGAAAGTACTTTACAAGTCAGCTTTTTGAACTTCATTTGTTAAGATTACAAAATCTTTTATAATATCATTCCTCTCTGCAAACACTTGTTATCAAGTTTCAAAGGATTTGAAGAAAAGATGGTCCAAATAATTAATTCAGCCTCCCTTATTTAGCTTGTAGTCCAGCCCATAGCTAACTTGTTCCAAGCAACATTTTGACTTTGCACATCAGCATGGCGGCTGCACCAGCAGAAAAGGGCACAGGTCATCACCATGGCAACCAAAGACAGGTTGAGCATCAGCCTCAGATAGTGACATTTGGTGAAGAGGGGTCAGGAACAGGACAGTTCCAGGGTCCACGTGGTGTTACAGTGTCAGAGGAAGGGGAGATCTTTGTAGCAGATACAGGGAACCAGAGAGTCCAAGTCTTCACCCTGCAGGGAACAATTTTACGCAAGTTCCCAACAGTCGTATTAGGTGAACAGAAGATGGAACCATATGATGTGGCCATGGATGGGGAGGGGAACCTGTGGGTGGTGGGGAATACAGACTCTGCTAAATTTGCTGTGCAGTATGACAAACAGGGCAGGGTGCTGAGGAAGTTTGACCTACAGAAGACAGGGTGGGCCAGAGGAGTTGCTGTGGACACCAAGAGGAACAACATCCTCATCACACAAACCACAGTAAACATGGGCAACTGTCAAAGTGAAGTGCAGATGTTCAGGCCAGATGGAACACTTGTGAGAACTGTGGGTCAGCAGCAGGGGATGAAGCACCCACAGTACATTACTGTGGACCGGAAAGAGAACATTCTTGTGTCAGACTGTTTCAGTCACTTTGTCTTTGTGTACAACGAGGACGGACAGTTTCTGTTCCAGTTTGGAGGCTGGGGAAGTGGTGAAGGTCAGCTGAAGTATCCCCGTGGCATCTGTACAGACAGGGCAGGTAACATCATCGTGGTAGACACGGGAAACAGTCGTGTGGAGATGTTCGACAAGACAGGAAAATTCCTCAAACACATCACTACAGACATGAACATGTTAAAGAGGCAATGGGCTGTTGCCATGGCAACACAGGGACAACTGGTGATAACAGATCCTGGAGACAACAGTGTCAGCATATTCCAGAACTTGTAAATTGGAGTGAGGCAATAGTCAAACTTAAACTTATCTGTAAGAATATCTGATCCACATTCAGTTTACAAACTTTGTTTCTATGGTCTAAATCTTGTTGATACATGTAATTGTATTAGCAGAGGAAACTGTAAATGGGCAGTGTTTGTACATATGTACTACAAAACAAAATTCAGCCTTGAATAAATCATCCAAGCTCCTGGCTTAAAGGCCTCCAGTGATTGACAGGTGTCAGACTATGATTGACACTTGTCAGACTGTGCGATGGACAGCTATCATACTTTTGCCCTTTTCCCACTAGGATAGACTTGTCCGGATCAAGCTGAATAGATTTGCTTTGATCTGTCTTTGATCCGAGCAATTCCATCCTAGTGGGAAAAGGGCCTATGTGATCGACATGTGTAAATGATTGACAGGTGTCAGACTGTGATTGACATGTGTTCCTGATTGACATGTGTCAAACCTTGGCCCCATTCCCACTAGGATAGAATTTTACCCTAGTGGGAACGGGGCCTATAAGATTGACACGTGTCAGGCTGTGATTAACAGGCGTACATGATTGACAGGTGTAAATGATTGACAGGTGTCAGACTGTATGATTGACATGTGTCAGACTATGATTGACAGGTGTAATGATTGACAGGTGTAAATGATTGACAGGTGTAATGATTGACAGGTGTCATACCTGGCAGTTTGACGTCCTCTGACAGCTCCACCCCGCCCCACTCATCAGCCCCGTCGCAGCAGTCACATATCCCATCATTCACCCTGCTGGACGGCACGTACCTCCCGTCTGTCCGACAGAAGAACCTGGAAAAGTCTGGATGGTAAAACTTGAGAAAGAAAAGTTGTGTTTACAATTTGACAGAAAAACTGCCGACCCTATATCTAGCTATCTTTCCACCCAGTTAAGTTTTTATCTGACTTTTGAGTTACATCATCAACATCATTGATCCCCCTCATCATGAGGTGCAGTCAGAAAAGTTGAGCCATCATGCAGAACTATTCATTGCAGATAGAATTTCCCCCCGGTCCTTGTAAATCTGTTGATGCTTCCATAATTGTTAAAATCTTTCGTGTTGTGATTGGATGACCAATCCTTTATGTGAATTCTCTCTGTGTCAGAAGTCCAAAGCAGGAGAGTTCCAGCTGGTTCTTCACTAGGTGCCAAAATAATTTCACACATTTTGAATTTCTAAACCATATTTTGCCTTCATCACATGCGCATGTATGTCTGTAGGTTCTGAGGACAGCTCTGATGCATTGAAACTAGTTACTAGTTTCATGATTAGTATCAAAGTTTTTCTTCTACCTTCCTTTAGGACAAGCGTTTGTCCCTGGTTCGTCCACACCATCCTCAGGACAGTCACAGTAGTCGTCGTTAAGCCTCGTCATGTTGATCCGATGTTCTGTCCCATAACAACTAAAGAATCCCTCCTTCATTCCTGCAAGCAACATCTTAGCTTCAATCGGACCTGCGCCTCTCAGGAAATCTGCATACTTTGTCGGAATAGCTTCAATCAAGTTTAAGTTGGCTACCAGGATTTTCATCTCATGTTGTTGTTTTTCTTTGTGGTCTTTCAGGTCATCTTCGTACAGTATGTCCTTCCTGATGCTCAGCCCTTCCTGCAACTTGGACTTGGCCTTCTTGGCCACCTCTTGGCTGAGGATGTCTGCAGAGAGAAACTGGAAAGAAATGAAAGAAAAATAATGAGTAATTAATTATATCGATATTTGTCACACATTTTGGAAAGATTGACATAGCAGGTGAATATCACCTTTTCAAGAAGTCAACCCTGAGACCAGACTGTAACTAGTGTAAGGTTTGAGCCACTCACACTGTGAAAGAACTCAATAATTGTGGTTTAAACTTGCTTGAGGTGTTAAGGTATCTTCATAAATGGGGACAGCTAGAGACATTTTTTTGTCCTATTGGATAGGATGCCCCTAACCAAAGCTAGGTACTCATTTTTGTGCATGAGGAAAAAGGTGTTAAGTGCTTTTTTGTGTGTTTGTGAGTGAGTGAGTGAGTGAGTGAGTGAGTGAGTGAGTGAGTGAGTGAGTTACCTGGAAGAGGAAGTAGATGACAGCGATGGTTGTGAGAATGCCGACCCAGGTGAAGATGCTTCGCCGTGTCAGCAGGCGGAACGGCGACGCCCAGAGTCCCAACGGCCTCTTCATCCCTTCTCAGATGTCTCTGCCATCACTGAACTGGTCATGATCAGAACATAAACAGTTTAAACAAGGAGGTAAATACTAATCTTTTAAATCTCCTTGTCTTCAACAACAGATCTTTGAAATGGAGCTGTGCAGTTAATTTTTAATGGTGCACATAGATATTTGTGTAGCAGTGTTATGTATATAAGTTATGTATATAACATATATTATTAAAAAAAATCTTCTGGCCAAAAACGATCTCCAATAGAAATCTCCATCTAAAAACAAGACTCATGACAATAGACCAAATGTTGATACTAGTAAACAGACGATGGAGATGGTTAGGCCACATATGCCGCATGCCACCACATAGTATAACCAGAACAGCTCTAAGATGGACGCCTCAAGGCAGGAGACCTAGAGGACGACCGAAGGAAACATGGCGAAGAACCATCGACAAAGAAGTGCGGAGCCATGGTTTCACTCTCGATGAGGCACCAAAGATGGCAGCGGACCGGGCCAGATGGAAGAGCTACCTTCTGCCTTAAGAGCCATGCTGGCTCAGAAGAGGACTAAGTAAGTAAGTTATGTATATAAAGGTAGTAGTAGATAGCATACTGTTGACATATCTATAAACTGTGAAAATTATAAAACGTTTTGCAATACATAAACGTACAACCAACAACCGTCTAGTTTAAACCAAGCAACCTAAACTGACCCCTTAATTGACCGATCAACAATCCAACCAACCAACCAACCAACCAACCAACCAACCAACCAACCAACCAACCAACCAACCAACCAACCAACCAACCAACCAAACAACCAAACAACCAACCAAGCAACAACCAACCAACCAACCAACCAACCAACCAACCAACCAACCAACCAACCAACCAACCAACCATCCAACCAACCATCCGACCGACCGACTGACCGACCATCCGACCGACCGACCGACCGACCGACCATCCGACCG